AGTGGTTAAAAAAGAAGGAAACTTTAAATTTACATGTAATATTATTTTACAAAAAATTATGTAGTTGAAAATAGGAGAGAAAAAATGGAATGTAATGTAATGAAATTTAATGAGAGTTAAACGGAGGCTAAATGTTATTCTCATTTGAACATGTTTATTATTTAGATATTATTTTGACCTCATCGAGATGCTTTCATCTAATCCAAATACACTCATCCTCATAAAATTAGGCTTTTAGCCTATCCATGGCATGGACCATTTTTATTTGCTTACCCTTGTAACCAGAACAAGTTCATCGTTATGGCTAGACCTCATATTTAAAATGAAAACACTTTTATCCTTCTAGACATGCCAGCTTTTTAACATGGAACATAATGTTATGTGATGTAGAATGAGTTGAAGAAGGTATTCCAATAGAGAACTTAAAGGCAGCAATAGAGGAGGAGATAAATAGCAGAGGAGAAAACCACAGCAAGAAGAAGAAGTAGGGAAGAAGAAAAGAAAAAGACAAGAAGAAGGGAAAGAACTAGAGAGAATGGGGAGAAACCTGGAGAAGAAGAGATCAAAGGGAAAGACATGGAACGAAGATAACATTGGCTGCAAGCCAAAACCAATTTCAATCAAAAGCAATATCAATAATTCATATTCATCAATTGTTTTTCCATGTTCAATACATGCTATATAAATAGAGAAATCAACAAACCTAGAAAGTAAATGGGCTTGGGCTAACCCAATATTACAAGAACAATAACAAAACAAAAAATAATAATAAAGGATGATGTCCGCATCAAATTTGATGTAGAATGAGTTGAAGAAGGTATTCCAACAGAGAACTTATAGGCAGCAATAGAGGAGGAGATAAGTAGCAGAGGAGAAAACCACAGCAAGAAGAAGGAACAAAAGAGACAAAAACAAGAAGACAACAAGAAGTGGAAAGGGTGAAGAACCGAAGAGAATGGGGGACAAACTCGAAGAAGGAGAGATCACAGGGGAAGATAGGGAATGAAGATAATGTTGGCTACAAGCCAAAACCAATTTCAATAATTTATCTCATCAACTATTTTTCCATGTTCCATACAAGCCATATAAATAGAGAAATTAACAAACCTATAAAGTAAACGGTCTCGGGCTAATCCAATATTACAAGCCCAATAACAAAACATAAAAATAAAGGATGTATCGAGTCTCCGGGGTGGGAGAAAAATTTGACTATGTGGAGTGGACAAAACACAAATGGCTGCAGTCGACCTGATACCAAAAAGGTTCCATATCATATCTCTATTCTTTGCTAAGCGTTTGAACTCATACCACGGGAGGCGATCTCTTTGAAGAATCAATTATTGAAATTCAACAATTGATAACAATGAAACTGCAGCTTCTCCTCAAGGATATGATTCACCTAAGGAGGATGATCTCTCTTTTTAATCGAATATCGATACTGATCTCCAAAAAGTAAATGCTCATGCAACTCATCGAAAAAATCTTCATGTGATTGTGCATAATGAAATGGATAAGAAGTTAGCACCGAAAACTGGCCTGTAGAGACAAAAGATTGAAACATTGAAGGCTCGAATGGGCTCTGATTAGGAAATAATTCTTCTAGATTGAAAATATAACTTTTATTTAAGTGAGATGACCAGTTAAATAGAAAATATTTATACGAGTGATCAACAAACATTTTCTTCACATTTTTGGAAAATCGGATAAAAGAGATGCACAATAAAGTATAGTAGTTATCATAAGAATACCGTAGCTCATATTGCACGTCGTAAGTAAGTCCATAGAAAGTCTCGGAACATGTCAACTATCATTTGCTCACAATCTAGGTCCAACATGATAAGAAATACTTCGCATTAGCTATAATATCTAGTATCCTGACTACTGTAGCATACAAATTGATGGATGTGCCCACGAGATATTGCAAATAATGATATAATTACAAAAAAAGACATCTTGCATTAATTCCTCACAAAATGGGGGACTGGGTACCTTATTGCGAAATAGTTCGCTAAGACAAAAAGCAACTGCTACTTGTATAGTGGAATCAGGATGTCTTAATAGATTATTTGAGACCAATGCTACACTAAGTGATGTGAGCATGAAAACAGTGGGCAATTGGTCC